GGAAAGAGGGAGATGGAATGTTCATTCATCGTCGTTCATTCATTTCATGTTTTTTAAATGTTTTATTTATTGTTTTTTTTTATTCTCTTGAAAGAAAATCCTGTTTTGGTTTTTATTTCTTTAGAGATTTCATTCACATTTTATTTCTTTTTTTTTTTGCGCGCACGTTTTACGTAAACATACATCCACGTTCATTCGTTTGTACGTTCGCTCACTCATTGGACAGTGATAAACGCATTTTAAACCTTACTTAAGATTTTATGCAATGTCTTTGTGTATAATGGAGAACGGAGACCAGGAGAGGACGAAGGTCAGGGAATTTAGTCAAGGTCAGGGTCAAAGTGTGTGTGTGTGTGTGTGTGTGTGTGTGTGTGTGTGTGTGTGTGTGTGTGTGTGTGTGTGTGTGTGTGTGTGTGTGTGTGTGTGTGTGTGTGTGTGTGTGTGTGGCCAGCATATTTTAGGTGCCACCTTTTCCTTCCCCCACTTTCCTATTCCCCTTTCCCCTCTTTCTAATCCCCTCTCAGGAAGAGGAAGAGGAAGAGGGGAGAGGGGGTGAGGAAGAGGAAGAGGAAGAGGAAGAGGAAGAGGAAGAGGAAGAGGAAGAGGAAGAGGAAGAGGAAGAGGGTCGAGGAAGAGAGAGAGAGAGAGAGAGAGAGAGAGAGAGAGAGAGAGAGAGAGAGAGAGAGAGAGAGAGAGAGAGAGAGAGAGAGAGAGAGATAGAGGGGGGGGAGGGAGGGAGAGCGAGGGAGAGATTGATAGAGATAGATATAAATAGAGAGAGCGTGATCCAGCGATACATGGGATTCCAGGCAACTCCTGTGAGAACACCACGTCCCTCCCCTCCTCCCTTCCCCTCTTTTCTCCTCCTCCTCCTCCTCCTCCTCCTCCTCCTCCTCCTCATTCTGCAGCGTCTCACCTCTCGTCCGCCCCCCCCCCCCCTGTCTTTCTCCTGGGCGACCGGACGTTAGTCAGTCCGTCAGACAATTCGGAGGATTCTGGAACTCTCACTGCCACAAGCTAAAGGATAAATAGATTTACGAATATAGAATGTAAATTAAATTAAAAAAAAGTCACGTTGGCTGTAGAAGGCTCGCTGCGATTGTATTTTCTTCGGATCAGGGAGCAGCGTCAGGGGGCTGTGATGTGTTAGCGGGAAAGGGGTTCGGAGGAGGGAGGGCGTGCGTTTGGGTGGGCGGGTGGGCGAGTGGGCGGGTGGGGAGGGAAGGAGGAGGGGGGTGGGTACCTCATGACACGGCTGATGCCAGATGGGAGTTCCAGCAGCCAGCGCCCGCACGCCCGCCCACCTACCCACCTGCCCATCTGCCCCCTTGCTTGCCCGCCCGCCCTTCCGCCCGCCCACTTGCTAGGTGTCGAGGAGGCTCTTTTTCTCTTTGTCCGTATCCGTGTCTGTGTCTGTGTCTTTGTCTTCGTCTTAGTACGCCTTCTCGACAGGGAGGAAGGACCCCGCTAGATATGGCTCAACTTTCTCGAGGATGTTGCAGGCGGGATTTTTATAAAATTCAGTCTTTTATCATGATTATTCTGTTTTTAAGAATTGACGAGATGTCACGTTGTTCATTGATGTATTCGTAGAGATGAAGATTTTTTTTTTTTTTTAAAGGAGATACACTTCCCGGTGGGGTAATTTCTCCCCCCCCCCCTTTACAAAAAGATTCTTTCGAGAGTTAAAGTGTATTTTTGGTAAGTGTGGAAATCATGACATGGTGTGTGATGTATATAATGTACAATCTCCTTTGTTATCGCTAGAAGGTTGAAAGTCTTAGCCAGAGGAAGGGTGTGATGACCCTACCAGGCGCGCTGCCGAGTTGTTGTGTCCAATGTCGATTGGATAGGATTTTTTAAATAAAAAAAAGAAAAAACAAACAAACAAACAAACACTTTTTATGAACGTTATTTAGCCGTTAGTTTTAAAACATCGGTAATGATAAATGTTATCTTTTTATGTTGCTCAGTCGATTCCCATTGGGCTCGTTTTCCCGCCCAGATTCAAGGAGAAACAAGTGCTCTGGCGCCCGTCCTCTCGGGCTCCCGGCGATCCGCCATTGTGTGAAAGAATGAAACCTATTTTCGACAAGGTACGACAGTTTTTAGCGCATATGTGTGACTCTATATATATATAATTTCTTTTCCTTTCTTCCTATTATTATTATTATTATTATAATTATTCCTATTCTTCACCATTCTCCCTATTCTGGGATTTTAATCGCACGCTGTCTTATAAAAGGGTTTGTTTTAAGGAACCCAGTTTAAAAAGTGAGAAAAAAATAGAAATAAAGAATAAAAGAGGAATTTTTTTTTTAGGGGGGAGGGAAGGCATGCACAGTCGAGGTCAAATTTTTATTTTTGTATAGCATTGCATAATATGATAGCGGGAGCCCGGGCGAGGGAGCCACACCTGCAGAGCGCGTCCTGGAAGTCCACGAGAAGAGTTTCTTTATATTCATAATGTCACCCGTTAATAAAGAATGGTTATATCGTT